CAGAAACCAATATAGAAGGCAGGATACCTGTATGTAATAAAATGCATAAACTTATAGCTAGAAACGACAAAATCTCTAAGGGAAAATATAGGACAAGCAAAGGAACATGCAAGATAATTTATGAATACTACTAAATTTGATAGCTTAACTTTGTTGATGAGCAGGTGTGTGTGTGTGTGTGTATCTGTGTGTGTGTGTGTATGTGAAGGCAGATAACAGCAAACAGTTTATTATGGACTATATAGCAGTACCCATTTTGGATAGATAGGAATATGGATATAGTCTTTGATTTGTATATAATATAAAGCATCGCCTTGTATTCTTTACTAGTGGAATCCACCACTGCACAGTTAGCACATTAAAAACTAACTTACAGGGCATGAGGTTTGCATCCACAGATAAGTATATTCCCTGCTCATAGATCTAGCACTCAGGTTCATGAGTTATATTTGAATGGTCATGTGTCATGTGTCTCCTTCATATCTTATGCACACCTGCCCCTCACCCTCACTTTTGCTTTACACAGCTGGTTTTCAGTTTGAATTATGGGGCAGTGCTGTCTTTGGGATGTAAATTTGAGTTATTATCCAATAGTATAGTCAGAAAGTCTGGTGGCTGTGCAATCTTTTCATGATGATACGACCAGCAAAACAATATGTGTTGCGGCTATGATATGTTTACCCAGTGTACTGCGGTAGATCGTGGAGGTGGTCTGCCATGAATGTTGCTTCAAAATACCTCAGAGCTCTGAGTCATGAATACCGGTTATAGTTCATATGTCGAAGACTGCTTTAAATATTTATACATTATGAGCCAGTGGTTCCTAGAGAACAAGAAAATACCAGAAACAGTTTTATTGCAGTGCTTTTACAGAATGTATATTTCCCAAGCTTGACCAGGTCAGCATTTTGTCTTCATATTGATTGTCATAATTAACTTGAAAGATTACATCATTTTTTCCAGAAGTCGGAGGAGAAATTCTTCTCGTTGTTTTTCTGTAAAGGTAGAAAAGCTTAGAGGAAACAATAATTGGTTACCATTCAGATCCACATATTTCTTTTTCCTTGCTAACTGAATTATAATTTTTTCAGGGTATCAGTCTTTAAGAAGATTGTATCTCTATCACCTCAGAAATAGATGACTTTCTTTTTTTTTTTTTTTTTTTTAATAACGTATACCCAACATGGGGGGGGGGCTCAACTAATGACCTGAGATAAAAGTCACATGTTTTCTGACTCAGCCAGCCGGGCACCACAGAAATAGAGACTTTCAGTTTCAATTAATTATGGTAATTTCATTTATTTTAGAATGGATATTACTAATGGCTATGAGGAACATATCTCCTAGGGGTTTCCTAGGAAGTGTTTTCCTTAAAAACTGAGCACAAAAAAGAAAATACTTTTTTTTTCTTGTCTCTGACTTGGTCACTTGTATGTGTTTGTTGAGCTTCAGAAGGCATTTATATCTGTCTGTCATGTATTCTGTCAGAAATTGGTGTTAGTGAAAAAAAAAAAGAATTGGTGTTAGTGCCTGTGTCCCTTTGGGCCCAGTCTTGGACTTTTCCTCTAAATGTATAAGGATCAAGCAGAGGCTTAGGAGCATGGAGAATGAGAAAGATCTTAGGACCTTGAGAGTCACCTCAGGTGGTTTTATAGCACTTCTAACCTGGCCTCCATAGGAAGTGCCTCCTAGGAGCGCTTTCTTGTTAGGCACAGATGTGTGTCTGGTTCTTCCCAGCCCGCCTCTGAGCCCAGAAGTGCCAGGCGGTCTTCCTACCGCCAGTGCCTTCATGCCTCCACCCCGAATTACGTGTTACAGGGTATTAAGGTGGTTCTCCCATAGATCCCCTCCATTTACTTTTGTTTCAACTACAGGAGGACTACAGAAAGTCTTTAGTGGCATCTTTCAATCTGGTTGTGCCATTTCTGTATCAAATGGAAAATTTTCAAAGTCACATAATACCTTCCTCATATTACAGTTTCCTCATTTATGTCACCAGTAGAATTTTATGAGCTAGATACCTATATAGTCATCTGTAATCTCTGAGGATTAACTTCTTTGATATAATTGCTTTGAATTCTAGTACGCGGGGAAAGGCATCTGCTGAAAAAAAAGATCTTGAGTATATCATTTGAAAATTGTAGCATACTGTTTAAAAAATAAGTTTATCTTATATTTAGAGATTTATCAGATATCTAATCTATGGTATATCTCATGATAGTATTAGGTGGTTAATATCAGCATTAAACAGGCATTGTATCAGCATATGAAAGGTATGGCTAATTTCTTAGTCAAGTAATAGAGTGACTTACATCATTGCAAGAATACATAGAATTGCCAACCTTTCTTTCAGTAAAGACTTGATACATTATTTTCTGCCTCCTATGATATGTATTTTATTATACAAATATTTTTTTGTCTACTGTGGTCTTTATCACTGGAGGTTTGACAAATGGAGGAATAAAAGCATGGCTTCTTTTTTCAAACAGCATGTATTTGACTTCCATATGTAAAGATTTTTCCGTCCTCCTACAGGTTCATAGCTAGATCCTGGCTAAATTAGAACATGTATTTTTTAAGCATTGCTGAGTCAACAAAATAAGGAAAATCTCTATGGATCAAGAAAATCAAACCTAACATTTAAAAAAAGAGAGAAGAGGAAGAGGAGTTGAAACCAGAGCAGGAAACTGGAGTCATAATGTAGCAGACAGTGCTGTCCTGAGGCACCGTTTGGTCACAGGGATTCTAGAGACTGATGCTGGGCCTCCTGCATGGTGGGGAGCTGAACCTGAAAAGTCCATACTAAGCCATGAATGAGACAAAACAGTTTTCAGTTGGTTCTCTACAGAAGCAAAATCAAATCCTTGTGAGGAATACTCCCAAGTTCAGGCCCTCGAATTCCAGATTAAATCTACCAACATAAGATCAAACTTCATTAACAAAACTAAATCACAAATATGTCTGGCTGACATAACCTGAATTCCCCACCCTATTCATAACTAAAATGCTGAATATAGTTAAATTTCATTTCTTTAAGTATTGAAATACTGAAAGATACATAGTTTTTATCCAGTCAAGACATAAGAGAATGTGGCAGGGTTCCAATAAAGATAATGGTAGCACTGAAGGTGCTAAGGGAATTTGTGTACCGGGGCAAACTGGGAGCTTTGTCTATAGCCCTAAAAGGTGTAGGCTACAAAATAATAAAACCACAGCTAGGCACACAATACACAGAAGGGAGTCTCATAGGACACAGTCTCATAAGTTGAGACCACAAAGCTGAGGACTAAAGTTAGGCAGCAGTAGTAGGAATAGCTGCAGAATTAGGAAAACTTTAGAAACATTTATGTTGTGTTTGGGTGGCTCTCAGTTGGTTACATCTGACTTTGCTCCCAGGTCATGGTCCCACGGTTCAGCAGAGTTTGAGTCCCAAGTCAGGCTCTGTGTGCTGACAGCCTCGGAGCCTGGAGCCTGCCAGTTTCGATTCTGTGTCTTCCTTCTGCCCCCCCTCACCTGCTCACACTCTGTTCTCTCTGTCTCTCAAACACAAATAAACATTGAAAAAAGAATTAAGAAAAAAAAGAAACATTTATGTTTATTCAGAGTGGGAGATAAAGGAGCAGGAATTGTCAAGACATTGCCAGGTGTGTGTTTCAGCCACTGTGTAGATGATGGCATCTACTTACGTGATAGAAAAAACACTATGATAGAACAAGTTTCAGGACAAAGTTTTGGACGCGGTTTAATATTTTGAGATTGTTCTTTATATATGAGTATCAATACTTTTAAGTGTTATAAATAGATATCTAAATACATGGAAATGGAACTATTGTAGCATAATGCCAGGATTTGCTTTTGTCTTTACTTTCTAGAAAATCTGTATGTAGTAGCTGACATTGTTTCAGATGGTTCAAGGAGGGTGGAGGTCAAACTCTCTAAAGTTTTTTAATTTTCAATTATGGTTATGTAATGGTTGCTACTGCTCCAGCCATTACAGAATATGAAGATGAAAGAGTTTCTCCCAACTGTAAGGCAATATCCTTTTATAGAACTTCCTTCACACTACCCTTAAAAGGCTGGAATATAAATTTCAGATAAGTACATTGCACCTCCAAATGGAATCAAGACTCTGTAGACAAAGGAGAAAAATGGAGGCTAGGTGGGCAGCAAAGAGCATTCCCTGCCTGTGTGTGTGTGTGTAGGTGTGTAGTGTGTGTGTGTGCGCCAAGACACAGGTGCCTGTGTAATGTTAACACATGAATAAGGCACAGGAAAGAGGTATAAAGGAGAGTGGGAATGTAATAGTATGTATATGAAACAGAATGTCACATCCATTGTCGCCATCTTCTTTTTAATAATTTAACTCTTCTTGGTTTTAGTGGAGCAAATGGCACCCAGCCACCCAGTTAGAGTATCTCCATGTGACAGAGTTCAAGCCAGCAGAATGTGAGTCAGCAATGCGCAACTTATGAAAGGACGTTACTTGGTACCCCATTTCTTTTCACCCTCCTATTAGCTTTCTCAAGCACAATATAACCTTGATATCAAAGTTGATAGCCTAATCTGAGGATGGCAGAGAGCCCATTTATCCGGCCCTGGATAACACATTGTATACCGCCTTCCTTCCTCTGAACTAGGACAAGAGAGAAATAGACTTCTGCTCATTTATTTGACCCATGTTCTTGAGATCCCTAGGACAATTCCTATCTGGTTAAGTACAGGCTACAGGTCTTGCTATGAGTGCTTCTCCTTGTGTGACCCCACCTTTAGATCACAGTAACTGTATTTATGTACTATAAATGTACACAAGCCAACAATAGTAGCAACAACAGACAATAACGATGTGATTTATGAATTAATTATGAAGGTATGCTAATTTATAACATTTCAGGAGCTAAGAAAAAAAAAAAAAAAAGAATATATAATAAGTGTTAAAAAGAACCATTCCAGCTTAGAATGTAAAGATTCTATTTCCTGTTAGGTGATCAGGGAAAACTTACGCAGTAACTTTGGGAGTTGAGCTTGGCAGCATAAGATTTAGATAGGGCAAAATGAGAGAGGAGCATTCCGCATGTGAACAAGTGCGGGTTATTAAGGTGCTGCAGATCACCATTGAAATGAAATGAATCTCTAGCTAGGTGGTAACTGGATTGATATGAAATATTGAAATACAAGAGCATTGAAAGCGACCATATGGAAAATCCATTTGCAATGAAAACTTTGGAGAGAAATAGCAATGTGACTATCACATTTGTCAGACCCATGCTCTCAACCATGAGATTTACTGGGACCCTAACAGTGGGGAAAAAGGAAAATAAAACCAGAAATTGTGGAACCAAGACTAGGGAATCCAACTCCAGAAAGAAGTATCCACCCCAAAGAAGGTAGCCAGTTGCTTACACTGTATTCAAAAAGGCAAACTCTCTAGTCACACCTGAGTTGGCACTATTTTCAGAGGATCTGAAAGTTGAGGACATGTGAGTGTGTGTTTCCCACCAGGATGTACCCCCATGAGTGGTGAATGAATGCTAATCTTTAATTATTGTATGTGAAGCACTATTCTAGGTACTTTTAAACTTTTTTATTGACTCCTTTATGCCTCCTAACACCTCATGAGTGTAATAATCTTTGTTGGCTTCCATTTTCATTGTCTTTTGTAACAATTTCAAAAGGTAATACTGCTGCCTCCCTTGTCCATTTTCAGCTGAGTATACTGAATGACAGAGAGTTAGGGTAACCTGCCAAAGATCACACTTCATTAGTAAAGGAGTTAAAATTTTAGCCCAGTCTCGGCCTCAGTATCACGCCTAAAGCATCAGTCAGAAATTGGGATAGAGAGACGGTCTTCTGGGAGATTCTGTTAAATTCAAAAGCATTGAGGCTAAAACTCCAATGTTAGAATTTTGGAGTAATTTCTGGTCCTTATTGGAGGACTAGAATGGAAACCCAACCTGAGACAAAAAAGCATATAGATCCTGTAATATGAATAAAATGAGGCAAATAGGGAAGCTCAGGGTATATACAAATTTGAATTTTCCTAGATATAGAGGGAGAGTCCAAGCATGAACTGAAGGCTAATAATACTGGCCTCACCCTTTAAGAATAGCAGTTTTAAATATGGGTGCTTGATTAGTTTAAGTTTAGGAACTGGGCAGGGACATTGGGACTTTGGCAGAGAGATTGAGATAGTTTGGGAGATTGGTAAGTCTATCCTCTCTCACACACAGACAGTTTCCCACCCCTGCTTCCTCTCTTTCAGTTTTGTACCTCATAGCTTGTTCACAGTCAAATAAAGTGACCCAAGTGCTATTTTGCTTCTCTGAATATGCAGGTAAGGACAGAGGCGCCTCTGAGTGGCCCAGTACATGTGACACTCACCTTGCTTTTTAGGACAGCACTGTCCTTAAATGTCTCCTATTTGTGTTAAGTTTCAATAAATACAGGTACTCACTATAAGATAAATGTATCTCCTGCTATCCCTCCTTTATGTAAGTATCAGACATTTTATTTACTAGGATTAATTATTTTGCTGGCATGATTGTAATTGTTACATCCTGCTTAGCTTGGTTTTATAGCACGTGTGAGCACATAATTAGCTTTTTTCTATTTTTCTACCTAGCTCTTTCTATTTGTTCCCATGGGCCTTGAGAGAAAGGAGGTTGAGATAGTTTCAAGATAAGCCCTAATTTATAATGTAGGAAGCATGTGACTTCCTCAAGAACCACACATCTTGAAAGAAAGATCTACAGTGGTAATCCAGCACCTAGGGCCAGAACCTGAGTTGTAAATACTTTGGGCTTTAAATAATGGTAAGTTCACCTAACAGTGGCATAAGGAACAAAGCCACACTTCCTCCTGATAAACAAAGGAGTAGCAGTTCCCCAGTTGGTCTGACCTGACATCAGGGCACTGGGTTCACATCTCTACTTCCCTGGCCACAAGCAAGCATCATGTCTTCACTAGTGAAGTGGGCATGAGTTAGAGACTTTCTCCCCTGCTATTCTCCCATTTTGTCAAGGAGGGTAAAAAAAATGTTTCTTTTTCCAGAAATCTCTCAGAATTTTCATGTCTTCATGCAGATATGTTTCATAAGGTAACTTTCAGCTGCAGGGAGTCTTGAAAGTGACTATTTGACTTTCTCAGGCCTCCTGTGGTGAGGCAGGCAAAGCAGACAGTGTTAAGAATGATGGTTGAATAACTCAATAACTACATCTGCAAAATATTTTTTTCTTCTCTTCCTCCTCTTCTCTTTTCTGCCTGCTCTTTCTTTCCTGCCTTGTCTCTGTTGTGTACTGATTTTGAGGGTTGAGTAAATGAGACCGCTTAACTCCTGTAAGAGGAGAAGGGCAATGATCTCTTCATGTGTTTCCTTCGGCTTACATCTACCCCATTATTTAATTAGAATTAAATAATGGTTTGGGTTTAATCTTTCAGAGGGTGGGTATTTATTGATAAACTTTAAAACAAAAAGGTTATTCTTGAATCCTCACGCCTAACATTCACTTGTAATATATGTAGCAAGTGCTCAATAAAAGAATAACATGAAATAAAATTAAGAAATATCTGATTCCATACTGGTAAAACCAAAGAAAAATCTAAGGTATTTGATATGAGACATCTTGAGAAGAAATAATTATGTTGATACAAGTAGTCAGAATTCTGTTGGTACTGGACTGTCTTCAGTCTTCTTAAGATAAGCAGCCAGAAAGAGAAGGTTTACATTCCAGAGGCCAAGAAATGTGATGAAAGCACACTGTTATCCTGATGAGACAGAGGTCTTATTTAATTTTAAACCTACAAAAAACTCAGATTCCTTTGTGTTCATAAATTATAATTCTCTTTAGTTTTCTCCTTGAAGAAAAGAAAACCTTCTAAATACTCCACCCATTAACTATGAAGTTTTTATTTCTCTCTGAAGCAGTGTAATCTTTAACTGCTATATGATGACCACAAAGGTTGTAAAACATACTGTGGGAAATATATTGTTCTTGATTATAATACTGGTTTCCTCACTTCCTTTTAAAACTCCAGTTCCACATTAAGAAACATATTTACATCACTCACCCCTGTAATATATGAATAGGACTAATAGATAAATTGGTACAGAAATTCTTCACAAGAAAAGTTTATTTTTTTTTCTTTTGGTTGAATTAATGTTTTGTTGTTTTGAAAGATACTGATCTTACAACAGTTAATGCATTAATGTTTTTATTTTGCTTTCTATTAAATTTTATAAAATATTGTCATAATTAACTTGATTTTATGACCCTTAATGGGTTGATAAGTCAGTAGCATGGTGGGTAAATTTTTAATGGTTGGCTTTAATTCCTTGAATAAAAAAGCCCCCTTAATATTAGTGTTTTCCGATTTCCTATGGTATAAATACACTTTCAGCCAATTTGAAGCTACCATCCTGATGTCACTGAATGTTAACTGGGAAATGAGACAGCCGGCTTTAGAGTCATTAGGATGCTTCATGACACCATCGGCTATAATACATAGTGTAAAATAAATATGAATTTATGTTTGTTGGCAAGTAAGTTAATTTGGGTTTTATTTGAACTGTAAATCACCTAATTTGTTATTATGTCCCAACAATGTCTGATATATAGCAGATAATTAAATTTGTATTTGTTAGAAGAATGAGTTGTTTGATTTGACAGAGCATTTGTATCTCCCTCAAGTTTGTTTTCAGTCCAATTTTTTCACATAAGGACTGTACTCTATACCTGATTATCACAGGATTTTTCTTCTATTCATAAACTCAAAATTGAAGAGAAAAATACTTTATTTATATATCATGATGCCTACTACATCACGACTATCACTTAAATCTGTTTTCTAAGAGTTTTAGCTTAAAACCTATAAAAAAAGAAAAAAACAAATTATTATTTAAAAACTATAGTTATATTTCAGATAATTCTCAAAGAAAGCTAAAAAATAAGTTAGAAATGATTGATTATATATTTCATATTCTTTTCTCATGAACTTTAGTCTTTCTGTTACAAACTTACACATTGATCCAGAATCGATATTGGGGCATAGAATTTTTTTAGCAACCTTTGAATTCAAAAAAACCAATGTGCAATTAAAATAAAGACTCTGAAATTATGAAAAACAGAAGAGAGCTGATTCCAGTAATAACCAAGTACTGAGAATATCAGTAAACATTTATCTAAACATAGAGTATGCTAAGATCTAAAGATACTCCAGGAACTGTGTATACCCAACTGCCCACCTAAGCTAGATACTGAGGGATTTCTAGATAAAAGGCTTTAAAGAAATGTATAACTCCTAATGGGAAGACAGATAACAAAAAGACAGCTGTAATATGTGATAGGTATCATGTTAGAGTTATAAGTTACATTGAAGCATAGAGATGGTGACATTTAAATGCTCAGGAGGGGCTTCTGGGTGGTTTAGCTGCTTCGACTTGGCTCAAGTCATGGTCTTGGTTTGTGCTTTTTGATCCTTTCTCTCTCTCTCTCTCTCTGCCCTTCCCTGCACTAGCCTCCTCTCAAAAAATAAAACAAAACATTTAAAAGAATTCTTCTCTCTCATTAATCTCTCTCATGCCTGTATTTCTAAAAAAAATAAAAAAATAAAATAAATGCCTGAGGAGTCTAAGAACACCCACCTAGAAGAGGACATGCTTTGACTGCTTAGAGTTTTATTTCTGCCCCTGCAATAATATAGCCTTGATAGTGAGCCTAATTTTGAGGTTCCTCCTCCTGGCTCCTGATAATGATTCTGTGACTTGAATGTAACTGTAATATGCCTTTTGTTTTCAATGGAACCTCACCTATATTTATCATGACATTTAGTTTTAGTTTCAGTATCCTTTTTTTTTCAATTATGCCGGATTTGCATGAACAGTTACTCTTGCTTTTCCTGCTTTGATTCTTCACTTGAATGATAATATGGAGTTTTTAATCAGTGTAATAATGGCTGTAAGTGCTTGGTCTTTTCCTCAAGTTTGGTTTCTACAAATAAAGTTATCTAATAATAATTTACAGTAAGTGAATAGTTATGTTTTCATGTACTTAATTATCAATTATTAACAGGTTTATTAGCTTTATTCAGTTATTCATAGAAACTACTGAAGCTACATCTCAGCTGAATACAGGAAGTTGCTCTTTTGTAAT